AATGATTTCGAAAATTGAAAAAAAAAAAGTTGGGGGCCACTTGCCCCCCTAGGTCCGCCAGTGAATATGTCGCGATAATACGAACTATACACGAAGTAATTCAAAATGATAACAAAAACACGCACGCAAAGGTGTTTAGATAAAATCTCGTTCATCATTTATCTATAAAATTATACATATATCATACCGAAAAAGTGATTTCATATTATAAATGAGGGTTTGAGTATAAATAGTAACAATTTAAATTTTTAGATGTGATTATTTAACAGTTGAGTGGGTTGATTTCAACCTTTTTTATGCAGATTCCGATCCTTCAACTTTTTCGAACTTTAGATTTGGAAAAATAAGCTCGTGAAGGAAAAATCACTAGCCTTAAAGCATCATGATCCAAGAGAAGTGAAGGGATGTGACGATTGAGATTCAAGACCAATGATAACTGCTTATTTGATGATCGTGATGATATTCATAGAATAAATAAATAAAGTAAACTTAAGATCATAGATTCTTAGTCAATGTTTGGGTTTCATTAAAAGTTACTTATAATTTCTAGTCAAACTTTATAGCCTATTTGATTCTCATTAATTGGGAAAAAAAAGAGTTTTTAATAGTATTTTTATGAGAATGTGTGGCCAAAAAGTAGGGATTATTTTTTTATGTACGTGTAAAATATTTTGTTATGGGAATGTATAATTGAAAATGATCGTGTATCAAATCATAAAATAAATTAATGGGCATCAAATAGGCACTTAATTTTATCACACGTGCACAATTACTATCCACTTATTATATTATAAGTTAATTATAAGTAACTTTTAATGAAATTCAAACATAAGCTTAACTTCGAAGTTTCAACGGCGTGAGGTGGGACGAGTATGGCATATAACTTTTTATGTATTGGCAATAGAAGAGTGAAGAAGCATGAATTTATTATAGAGAAGTAGACAAACGTAGATGGCAGATCACATCGCATTTACTAAACATAGGAAACCTGCCCACATGCCTCAGCTGCAAAGTCAAGACTCTCACGCAGACATGGTGCCATGGCCGTACCCTGTTTCGCGGGGCTGAGATGAATTTTAGAATTTGGGCTTCTAAATCGTATCAAGTAATCAATTT